TTTTTTTTTTTTTTTTGCAAACGTTGACCCACCGTCTAAAAAGACTTGTTTTTCTGCATTTAAGATATCAGCTAAAGACATTTGCATATACTGGCAAGCAATATTTGCCGAATAATATCCAACTGGTATGTTCATTCTGTAAACGCATTCGCCATAAAATTCACATTTTTTAGTGTCGATAAACTGTGTCATTGGCTGTTTGCAGAAACAGTTTGCTGAAACAATGTAAAGTAGTTATCATTTTTGAACAGTTATACAACATCTATCTAATCGGTTACAGTTTACTAGTTAAATGAAACAACATATGAACAACGACTTTGAAAGGAAAATTTTAAGATTTTTTAACTGTTCACCAAATTAATTTTGAGCATTAAAACTGAAGAAAGAAAATACTACTACAGTATCTGACCTTTACAGCACAGATTCAGAAGTGACGGAAGAAGGTTTTTGTCGTCATTAGACAGTTGGAAGCATGGCGAGGTGAAGGTATCTAATGATGGTAGACCGGCACTGGGTGGATGAACTGCGACACCGAGGATTACATCACCGCCTCTCATGATTCTCTCTGCGATATCACACGGATAAGTGCTGGTACCTTCTTCAGTTCTAAACACAGGCAAAATTGAACTATTTGACTGCAAAATACGATTCAAAATTATTGACTAAAAATTGATTTTTAAAAGAAAAGTGATGATTGAAAAAAAAAAAAAGAAAAATTTTTAACATATTACTGTAAGTGAACAAAGCCTTACGAATGCGGACATTGAGCGCCTTTAGAAGACCACAACACAACCAGGTTTCGGGTATTCTTTCGGTCTTGACGTTTTCTGTCAATTATGTTTTTGGCTTCTGTGAGGCCTCTGCAAAGCAAATGCAGACATTTAATGGTTTTTATTCGGAAAATCATTAAAAGTTTTTATATAAAAGAAAAAAGAAGTAAAAGTTTTCAAATAAACAGCAATAATTTGTTTACCCTAGCTAACTATAAAGTCAATATTAAGTTATTAATTATATTTTTCAAACTTTTCAATTTTTATCTCTGTCGCTTACTAAGAAGACCTCAGTTTATTTGCTGTTTTTATATCATTAACTGTTAATTTTAACTTTTTTTGCGCTCTATCTTATATTAATATCTAATGTATATGCTAAAAATTGAAAGCTAACAGTCTTATGTTAGCAGTTGTACCCCCAGTTAAAGACATCTGACCGATAGCTCTTAGCACATCAGTAGCAGTATTCCACTGTTCTAAATTGCCGATGACTGTTGCCTAAAACGAGCATTTGATTTTGAAGGATCGGTGAAAATTAAAGGAAGTGTAAAAAATATATTCCTTACTTTATCTGCAAATGTTACTAGTGCAATCCTTGAAGTTTTTCCTGATTGGCCAATATTCAGATACATTACAAATGTTGTAATCAGTTGTTTTAACTGAAAAGTTTTTTGGTTTAAACTTTATTTCATTAAGCAACTAAATAATATTGAAATTTAAAACAAAAGATTAAAAATATTGAACATTTTGCCAATGTTTAGAAATTTTTATCAAAAAATTTTTTACCTTAATAGGTAGTTGCAGAAAAGAAACAAGAAAAAAGAAAAACTTTCAACTTGTAAGACACAGTTTCAAAGTGACAAAGGCATTGAGAAGCAAATGAGTCTTTGCAGAGTTTAATGTTCAAAAAATCTTTTTAAAATAAGCTAACTTTGAAAAAATAGGTTATTTTGACAGCGTTAACTTAGAAGATAGGAAGATGTCAACAATAACGATACCAATACTTTTGTTTTCATAATTTTTTTCAAATTTTTTTTTTCTTACATCAGTTACAGAAGGAGAAAACATTCTTGCTTACAATTAGTTGAAAACAATTTTTCAAATTTTCAAACAGTATTGTTTTAGACTACGCAAGAAAAAATTACAAGTAGAGAAAGGGAGACTCACCCCATTGAAGCTTTGTGCACTGATATCACTACTAACATCGACCACGAATATTATGTCAAGCCAAAGATTCTTTGCAATTGTTTTCGCGTCACCAGAGCAAGGACAAGGACGAGGTACATCAGTTGCTATAAAGGAACAACAATTTATAAAATTTTATCGAAGTTCTCTGATACTGTCGAATTCAGTAACTGACAGACAGTATATTTGGTGTTTCTTCTAGCTGTACATTTTTCTCCTGTGTTCGCTTACCAAATGTTACTCAAAAAAAATTTTCTTCTTTCATATTCTCTTTTTTTTTTTTTTACGGAAAAGGAGAATACTGAAGAAGAAAATAGTAGACATGCAAAGAAAAATTAATTGAAATAAATGATTCAAAAACAAGATTTTAAACTTACCAAAAGTAGCCACTGCTATGAAAACCGCTAAACACGCAACAATTGTTGAGATATGCATTTTTGGATAGAACGGTACCGTGGATACACGGTTCAGTTTAAAAGTATTGTTGAAGACCGAAAACTGAGAAAGAACGATTGCAAAACTGTGATTTGTTGAAGCACAAAATAAAGACGTTTCTTCGCTGTTTACAAACTGTTCATTAGAAAAGAAAAAAAGCAGAGGAATGAAAAGGTAAAAGCACTTTTTTCTTGTTGCTTAGAAATAATCGGCTTGAAAAAACAAAAAATTAAAAAAGATTTTTTTTTTCTTGCTGATAATGACGTTTTTTGATACAATGGGTTATTTTGGTCTTTAAAAACAATTAAATAGTGTATAAAAACTGAATGTTTAACTGGTCGCAAGTGCCCTTTATTAGTCCAACACTAAGTACAGTCTTAATTATAAAGAAAAAAAAGGAAATATTCTTTTTACAGTCGTCTAATCATTTGTTGTTTTGTGT